GACTCAACTGTCAAGGCAGTGACTCCATACGCATCAGGGATACATGGACCCCTGTTCAGCTGGTAGCTGTCAATGGCGAATGAGCCCCGCCCCCCAAAGGACCACCGGCAGCCGTGGGCTACTGCTGCCTTGCTGTTAGCACTTGGATGTGCAAAGGCTAGAGATGCCACCTCGATCCAAAGCCGGGTGACGTCGGGGACGTTTCCTGTACCTAACTCCCAAGAAATTTCATGGATATTCACTTGATATCCATGAAGTCGGCTTTTCCTCTCCCAGAAGCCAGCCGCCGTAAAGTAAAAAGAACCAGTGCAATCAAGGAACCGTTCTGACGTTTGGAAAGATTCCTCCACCAATTGAAGGAGTTTGCCCTCCACGTATGAGCTAGAGTTTTTAACTATCCTCATTGGGTTAAAATTACTTGTTCCTTCTTTGGTTTGTTTGCGGAATAGATTGACCATTTGCTTGTGCTTTTGCATCTGAAAATCTCGGCAGACATTTTCCTGCCTCAGATTAGTGCGGAATTCGGTTACACGATCCCGTTTATTCTATTCCAGGTATCCGAGTTTGCTAGATTGCACGATGTTCCGTGTGTGGCAGATGGCGGCATTCAGAATGTCGGACACATTGTGAAAGCTTTAAGCCTGGGTGCCTCCACCGTAATGATGGGTGGACTACTGGCCGGTACATCAGAAGCACCGGGTGAATATTTCTTTTCCGACGGAGTGCGACTGAAAAAGTACCGCGGTAAGTTATGCGTATTTTGTTTTTTCCATTGACTTGCTTCAATGTGAGTTCAAAATGTTTCATTTCAGACTCGACTAAAGGCCTATCATCCCTGTCATTCTCCCTTTTGTTCATTGCACTAAATTCTGGTTGTTGTTCAGTTTCAGACAACGTATAGAAATCTGTCAGAGGACCGACGGTTGTAAGTGTCCCTTCTGTGAACCACAGTTACCATGGTAAACGAGTTAAATCCGGCCGAATCTAGGACACCGGCATTATCCCACCCGGTAAAGATCACGCTCCTTAATAACTCTGTGCCAAATGATTGCCGATTAGGAAGGTCTTTCAAAACCTGTGAATCACTTTTGTTCGTTGACAACTGACAAACCGTTCCGTAAAAGCATGGGTTCAATTTCCATCATCATTATTATTATCATCATCATCATCATCATGATCCGGTGCAATACTACACTGACCTCATGCGATTTCCCGTTCCATTTCCCCACGTGGCTATTTTATTCGCGTCAGTGCCATGTGATTTGGAGTCAAATTGAGGTCGCTCTATGCATATTACATAATCAGGAGTTTATTGAATGACATCCCAGGGGTTGCATCAAGAGGTCAAATTTTATAAACAAGGCTGTTTTCGTTGCATTATGCAACAACCAAATACAGCGCGTGAGTTAGTGAAACAAATAGGTCAAGTTTGTGTGTGTATGCGCGTGCTGTTCCAGCGAGNGCGCATATGTCATCCGTATGGTCGATTAAATCGAATACATGAACTATTGGATTCTCCTTTTTGTAACACGCGTGTTATGTCATTCCGGTGTTTGCAACTAGCCAGGGTAAATTCAGAGCTCTCACTCATACGAAGGGTCTTTGCTCAACCGAATCGCGCCAGCGCTTCGGCAACGATGTTTGACCTACTTTGATCGCCCTCTGTTAATCGTGTAGATGGTTCTGATTGATTCATGCATTATGACACGATGATAGGCTGTCGGTGTTCGAACACCGCTGTCTACGTCGCATTACACGAGTCCCATGGGGAAAACGGACAAGCAATGCTGCAGTTAGGTGTAGATATTTAGGTAATCGCGGTCACCCACAGAAGCAAGTTGTCAGCCTCCTTGGACTCCATTGGTTGGGGCATGTTGTGCATATGTCACCAAACAGATTGCCACTGCGCGTGTTGTTTGCAGAGGCAGATGACGGGTGCAAGCAAGTAATGATTGATCAACCTAAGACTTGGCATGAGGGTACGAAAACCATGGTCAATAAATTTGCTCACATAGGCCACATTATTCCTCCTGAATGAGGACTCCGGGATAATCGTAATTGGTGGTTAGAGACACTGAGTAATGCGACTGCGTGTCGTTAACAGTGGCGCTCGTGCACCTTCTCATTAGTCTATGTGAGTTCTCCATCTTCTCTTTGACTCTGCTCGCAACATTCCATTCTTCCTTCCGCTGTTTTATCCAGATGGGCAGTCATGAGGTAGCCATCAAAACCGGCGCGTGGTGGTAATGGTTGTAAAAACTGAACAGAAACGATGACAGGTTTCGACTAACTAAGCGGTGATTGCTGTCCAGCTGGTTATCATCGGTTCACGACTAAGCCAGCTGAGGTGTTTGCGAATGCTTTGTGTTGCACGAGCGATGTAGGTTGGTCCACAGGAACGCACGAATTGGTCATTGTACAATGGGGTCATTCCCAATGCAAGCCTGACTTTAATCTGCAATGGGGCAACTGGTTTGGGATTGTAAACTCCACGTATCGCAGCGGCGTGATATTTATTTCCGACAGAAGTCTGGTATCACCTATTTGTCATTTCTGTTAATATGTTGCCTTTGGAAAACTAGAACGGACCGCACATTGGCGGAGTATACATGATCTTGTATTTTCAAGGATGCGTCACTTCTCAGCCTAAAAGCTGTTTCAGTCCTGCTTAAGCTGCTAGTAGTTTGGAAATGCTATAGTCCTATGTGAGAGAAACAATCCACAATAACCAATTCTGGACCGTCATACTCATTCATCTGCTACCAAACCCGTTCACTTCTTTCTTGACCCTATTTAAGTTATCGGTAACCGCCGTGTAAATTATCACGTATTTGAACATTTGATTAGCTACCTAGTGTGGCTCTTACAATGCATGCCGTTGTGTGTTCCGATATTTACTTGAATCTTGTCCGTTCTTATCGGTGTCTGATTCCGTCCCACCCCAGTGAGCTATTTCTGGGATCAGAAATGATTAGAAATTAATTCAACTCCCAGTTTCAATGTTTTTCATATATAACGCGGAGAAGCTTTGGAAACTCTGTACTGCTGTTTGATCTTCTTTATTATTATTTTTTGTTTTTAATACGAAAAGGAATTTTTCTTGCATTGAAATTTTCGCGAGGCCTGTATATCTAAAATTCACTGGGGACCACCTAGATTTGTGTCCACGATAACCTTTTTCTTTCAACTGCACTGGCCCCCGGGATTTTTGATTTGACCCCCGAAGGTATGGGCAGTCTGGATGCCATGCAGAAACACAAATCCAGTCAGGCACGCTACTTCAGCGAGGCACATCACATCAAAGTCGCTCAAGGGGTTTCCGGTAGCATTGTGGATCGTGGTTCGGTGCATCAGCTGGTCCCGTATTTGGTGGCCGGTGTCCAGCACGGATTGCAACAGTTGGGTGCCGAAAGTGTGGTTCGGCTTCACGAGATGTCCCGATCGGGTCAACTAAGATTCGAGCATCGAAGTCCTTCAGCTCAACTTGAGGGCGGAGTGCACAGTCTTCACTCGTGAGTTTTCCTTGTTTATTTAATGTGGTTATATGTTCAATCAACTTTTGACTGTTATGCGTCAAATAATACAATCTTCTGGTGCGCTTAACTTTTACAAACAAAACAGAAAGATTGAGAACCGACGGGATAATGACTTTTTCTACATGGTGAATGTTTAGATTAGCTCATTCGGTTTTTCACAGGTACCGGGCACTGTTGATGTATGTGTGTGTGTGTGTGTGTGTGTGTGTGTGTGTGTGTGTGGGTTTCATTCTTTGGGAGATAGGTAATTCCCCGCTATTTGAATGCGTTTGAATGTGATAGAAATGTTTGTGATAACCGACAAAGAGCACTGGACATCTGTTTCGTCCTCTTTGGGACTCGCCTGAAGTGCGTACCTTTTGTGTCCCTATCAGGAATCAAACCGCGAACATTTGGGTCGGGATTTCAAACCCTTAGTCCTGAACCACACGGTCGATTATCACAAACATTTCAAACGTATTCAAATAGTGGGAAATTAACAATCTTCCAAGGAGTGAAAACCACACCGAACATCATCAACAGTGCCCGGTGCCTGTGAAAAACCGAATGAGCTAATCTAAACATTCACCATCTAAACTGATTGAACCATTCACGCAAGGTGATGACCGTCGACCGTGCAGATCTTTGTCGTTTATCACAAACATCTCCACCACATTCAACATTTTTTTTTGTTTTCACAATTATCAGTGCCAGCTTGCGGTAATCAATAGCCGTGAAAAGTCCGCATATTTGTTCTACAGTAAACAATTGTGTAATTTGCCCATCATTCCTGAGAGCACAGAAAGGTTTCCCGTTTAGTGACTGTTCCGTTTAAGCCACCTGAAATTCCCCCCCGACCAAAGTTAACTTTGATCAAATGTAGTCCATCCCTTTTGTGGACACAACTTTCATTACACATGTAAGTTTGATTGAAAGCCGCATGATCGCGATAAACTCTTGTTTATGCATTAGAAGAGGAACTTGGAGTAGCCATGATAGAATGTTTCCATTTAACTCCAACTTGGGCCTGTTGATTTTAATTCACAACCCTATTGTATCGGTACCGTTGCCTACCACACGAAATGCCTGTTTTCCTGCAATGTGCTTTCGGCACTTCTCAGAGGAGTTTACGAGTTTTTCATCCACCATTTATCATTGTTTCTTCTTCACAGTACTTAGCAATTACTGGTTCCTCTTGGTTTTTTAAGGGGATATCGTTACCTAATTGGCTAGTGCACTGTGGGTATTATTTTCGTTTTCACGTTCTAGCTACTCATGAGTAACATATAAACATATCATGTGGTTTGTTCGGCTCGCTTCTGTCTTCGACAGCTACGACGGCTTCAGTGTTCACCATCAGCTGGAGCAAAAACCATGAACCAGCCAGCATTCGACTCACTCACCTAAACGATGTATTAGCAGAAGTAACTTTGTTGTTGTCTTACGCGACGATTGTTCTAGTCAGTTGATCAACGCACCCTATTTACGTGCCCCTCCCCAACCCGATAATATGCACTTGCGTTCTAACTGAAATTGAATCAATTGCTACTTTTCTGTTTCGGCAGAAGCTTTCCGAACTGCGTATAAACAGTCTATTTTATTTGCACTTGTCTTTCATTTATTTGTGCAGTATCACTTCTCTCCTCTATTGTGTACTCGGTAAAACCGTTGCTACAAAGTCTCCAAATTGCTAAACTGCATTTCATGCTTCGCGTACACATTTTGCATGATGAACGGTACTGTGTTCCATGTTGCATCTTGCTATCATGAATACTGAGCTCTCCTCGTCGACCGCTTCGACGTTTATTTTTATCTGTTCACACACACGCACAACACTGTTAGTCTTTCTTTTATGGACGTACACCTTGATGTGAATCGACAAATTAAATTTTAACCGTCTTTCTCTTTCAACTTGCGTTCATATTTTCAGCTATGAAAAACGTCTCTATTGATGTGTCCCCTACGATCGCCAAGCCATCCGCGTCAGCCTCAATGGTCTTGCTTATATGACGCTTTTGATTACTTTACCCAGTGCATATGCTATTCCATCGCCAAATCCGTTTTGCGCTTCGATAATAAATTTGTTTGTTCAACCCGCCCACTTGTCCGATCTTCAGAGGAAGTCTACTGGACATGGCAGGGTACTCAGTTCGTTCTACTAATTTCATACATTCCAGTTTGAGTCACTTTTTAATAAACGATCCAAAATAAGAAACGCTGTTTACATATGTATATGGAATATCCTCGGGAGTATGCACTGCCATTGCGTTTTCCTTGTGTTGTTATGATGATCGGTCGAGGAGGTAAGAGAAAACCAGATAAATAAATTGTAACCATTCATGAACTAGTAGTTGAGCACCTATTGGAAGAACTCAGTCATTTACAGTTTCAGTTTGTGCAACCATTAACCAATGCACTTTCACGCACCGGTTTTGGTTGCTGTCATTTGGCCACCCATTTGGATGAAGTAGTAAGGGAATGAGGTTGAAAGTAGGGTCGAAGAGAAAATGGAAAATTCTAGTGAGCCAAGGTTGCAAGGAAGTTGAGAAGATGCTCGAACGCCATTGTTTACGACACATTCATGTCGCTTAGCGCTTCTAAACGTGAATTTTGGTGTTGTGTTGGAAAACCATGGCTCCCAATCGATTTTCCGGAATCCTTGGGATAATCTTCACTTTTTGCAGTCATTAAACATGCAATTCGGTGCCCTGGTTTTTGTTGCTATAATGCGAATACCAATTCGGACGGAGGATGAACACGAAGATTAGAATATCGAAATCAGTGACAGAGTAAAATAGAGAATTCATCAATGCTATGGTTGCAAGGACACTGAGACACATAAGCGCCACCATTTACAACATTCATTGTCTCGAACCATCGATCATACTGGTCCCGATATCCACATCTAGGAAGGTGAACGCTTAACCTATGCGCACAAGTCTTCTGGTGAAGGTTTTTATGCCCTCATACCAAGTCTTGGTTTGCCGCCCTTCACTTTTTCTATCCACTACCTGCCTCGGTTAGCAACACGCGCCGTAGCAATCTATTTGGTGATACGTCTCAACCAGTGTAGTCTATGGAGGTCGTCCACCCATTCCAGTAAGCAACCGCGGTTACGAAGACCTTGGCGCTGAACATCAGCATTACTCGTCTGATTTCCCCACTAGACTCATGCAATGCAACGTAGACAGAGAAGTTGGAACACCGACAATCCATTTTTATCCTGTTCCCGTTATGGCGAAGTCTGCACCATACATCTGAACTGGCCTAATTGATGCATTATACACTCGACCCCTCGCGAAAAACTGGATGTTGCGACGGCACCACAAATGTTGGCAAGTGTCACTCGAACCAACTGTACGCGTGCCGACACTTCATCTGGGATGCGTCAGCCGGTCGAGAAGTAACTTCCCATATAGCAAAGTTTGTTTACTACTTCTCGTATTAGAATAGGGCTGGGAGCTGGAGAAATCCAGTGCTGTAGCATGATTTTACACTTGGAAGGTGCAAAACGCATACCCAATATGGCTACGCTAAACTTTCCAGAAAAGCTTACAACTTACCTCGTTATACGCTTAGCAGCACAATGTGGTCTGCATACGCCAGATCAGACAGTCTGACACCTAGAGCCAAATCGATACCGCTATCCTCACCCAAGGGCTGTTTGCATAATCAAATCTACAACAAAGTTAGAAAAGGAGAGACAGAAGGCAACCCTAACTAGTACCACTTTCCCTGATGAACTCGGTCTAAAAGGTGCTGTAAGCTCGAACTCGGCTTCAGCTGTTAGTATAAAGAGATCGTGATATTTAAGTAAATTTGTTAGGCATACCATCTAGGGAACAAGAGCACCAGAGTTCAGAGCCGTCGACTGAGTTGAGGGCCACTTTCAGATCGAAGAAGGCTGGGATAGTGAGTCTACGTAAGAAATGTCGGTAATCTAGAACTTCGTATAAAATGACGATATCGTGAAAACAATTTTGACCAGGTCTAAAACCAGCCTGATTCTCACGCGTGCGATAGTACGATGCCACCGAGCAGTTTAGAAGCAATGTTGAATGGACTAATTCCTATGTGGCTGCACAAGAGGATCTGTCCCGTTTCTTGTAAGTTGGTATGCTAACCGATTCACACCACTCAGTTGGAACTTGTTCCATCTCCTATACCGACCCCAGGAGTTTCGTCACCTCTGAGACTAACACTGAACATTCATCCTCAAATGCCGATTGGAGTAGCCAATCTGGGCCGGAGGCCTTATGCCTTTTGAGATACCTTATTTTCCAGGAAGTCTTCACTTCACGTGGAGGTTTGGCATCAATTGGGAATGTTTCTCCAGTCGAGATAGGGGGTGATATGTGATATATCGATGGGGCCAGTTGACATGAACCTTGAAATGCTCAGCCCATCGAACAAGACGGCGTTCTTGATGAATCAGTGTGCCATCGGATTCCGTTATTACCTCACCTATTTTCCTGGGACCCGTATTCCTAATTGGACGGAAAAATTGCGATTATTACCAATAGCCGCAGCTTTTGCCACCTCTCTACACGTTCCTACCTGGCGCCTCGCAGTCATTCCTCAGACTCCGGGTGAGCTAACGTTCAAGGGATTTGAGCGCTATCATATCTGCGGGCCTCCAGCAGAGCAACCGAGGTCGACGAGAGCCATCGTTTGCTTTAAGCGTGCGTCCGGGCCCACCGTTGTTTCTGTCCATATCGACATAGATTCCTTGATTTGCTTTCGGCGTTCATTGAGTCCTTCGACTGGTGGTGGAACTGATATGTGATTGGAGAGCTCCGCTTCGAATGCCGATTTGAAATCATTGCAGATACTGTTTAGTGAGCAACCGTTTTTGGTGGCTTTTCCGCGATTGTTTTCTAGGCATAGGGAGAATCTGGCTCATAGCAGAGAATGATCCGTGTCCATGGGTGTTGACCAGTAAGAGCGGCAGTCTTTATTGGACCCCCGCCAGCGGCGACTGATAGTGATGCGGTCAATTTG